AATTATAGTTTCCTATTTATTGACTTGTTACTTGTTTTCAAAATTATTTGGTATTCAATAATCTTCAGTGATATAATTACATGTATTTTCCGTTATATTTGTAGAACCTATAGAAATTTGACAATAAAAATTTCATCACCAGAATTTTGACAATGTCGAAAATTCCACCGAACCATTGACATTATTGCCGTCTTTTCGAAATCTTCGAAATTTCATCAAAATCACGACAATTAAAATTTTTGCTAGTTATTTTATTGTCCAATCTCCTTTAGAATTCGGATAATATGCACAGTTTGGAGTATCATAAGGAACCAATTATATGTTAATTAGTATGATATCAAGTTGTTGAACACAATTACAAGACTACGTCCTTTAGAGACGGACCTGTTTTCTTTCTTCTGTTTTTCTTCTTTAATTATCTTGTGTTTTGATATACATTGCTTTATCGTTTAATACTCTCGATTTCTTGCTTCACACAGACAAAATCATCACTTTTGTTTTCATCATCTGTTATCATTCTGTATTTTGCATCAATATGATGGGACTGTATGTGTAGTCGTGCTTAGTTTGTACGTTCGTTGAAGTGGAAAAAAGAGAGAAGATCTCGATCGTCCGGTGCTTTGTCTGTTCGTGCATATAAGTTTCTCCGATAGATGTAGATGTAAATGTCGGTGTGGGTAGATCTCTGTGTCGTCTTACAGAAGAAGAAAATGACTCTACTTTAGTTCACATATGCACATTTCTACCATATATTGCAGCTTCAATTACTGCGTATATTGTCGTATTTATGATGGAAATTAGACAATAAAACGCCCTGCAGTAATTAATATTGTCCAAATTCCAATGGAAATTGGACAATAATATACCCAGCAAAAGTTATTGTTGTCGTCATTCCAAGAGAATTTCGACATTGTGAAAATTTTGGTGACGATATTCTGATTTACCATATTCGTATAACATCGACATCTTTATAAAGCGCATGTGAAAGGACAGATCGTTCTCAATCGATTTGCTTATCCTTTTCACCAGAAAAACCAACTAAAGCTAGACAATATATGACCTTCGATGACTCAGCTTGTGGGCTGACTGGGGAATTCTGACTCTACGTATGTTCTGACTGTGCACAAAGAAGAATTATCCAGTTTTCTTTTTAGCAATCGTCACTTTACCGTCCACAGGCAAGCGTCTAGGAACAAATCGTTCATTCGTCAACAAAAACAAGTAAGCAATGTATGTGATTCAATTTTTTTATGATATCTTCTAATATAATTCTTCAGTTCGTCAACAAAATAAATACTATTATTCACCCTACCAGTGTTTCTATTTACAATGTTAGTTAAAATGTTAATTTACAGTTGTGTGCGTCAGTGAATTAGAAGAAATGGTAAAAATAGTTCCATCAATTTTTCATGGAATTAGAAAAGTTTTTACGATTTACTGACTCTTTTGCATTAGAGCTGAAATTAGTACTGGATTGGCTGGTTTGCCAATTACCAGTCCAATTCGGTTGAACTTTTCAAACCGGTCAATTTTCATGGTTTTTTTTATCTACAAATATGAACCTAAAAGTCTGCAGCTGACAAATTCATAGTCGTCAGCAAAGTCTCAGCTATAAACATTGAGTTCACACTTTCTCATCGAACGATGAGCATCAAGGATCATGCTGAATGAACTTACTACGCCCATGAAAAGCTAAACACACATCAGAAGTTGAGCTCCGTCTAAAATAAAGATTTTTCACCTCGAGACCTCAAGATCACTTTTCTGGACTACTCTTAACCGACTATCAGAAACTCTCAATAGTTTCTGTTTCCAATTCATGCTTTCATAGCAAAATCATCAGAAAAGATTCTATTCTGTTATGAAAGTTATGCTCACTACTAGTCTCATGCAATTGTGAAAGTATTCAGCTATTAAGAAACCTAAAGATACGAAGTTTAGTATTGAGACAGTTGTGTAGCTTATTTTATCTTCCTATCGATAGTAGTAACCTTGACGTCCTGCGAAGCCTTTCAGTAATTTTAACTGATGATATCAAAACAAAACATCAAACTCATCAATTCTTGTACGGAACTACATCTTTATTGAAAGAAGTCAGACAGAACAAAGCATAGATGCTGTTCAATATCAGTTGTTGTAAATTACCAGACGAAATGTTTTTAAAGAATTCTTTCTTCATTCGTAGTCTTACGAGGGATCCTTCCCAATTGTCAAATCGCTTTTGGGATCAGACTCTGTGCATAAAGTAGACCCCATTGAGATATGAAAAATTCCAAAAGGATAAATGCCCATAGGCCTTCTGGCCAGAGTTATAGGCATTTTACAGGAATTTTAGTCCATAACATGGTATATACCAAAATATCGAATGATGGTATTTCGATCTGAAATTTTGCTCACAGAGAGATCTATTGGTAAGTAGAATGCCGTGAAAATTTCAGCTCAAAAGAACGTTCTTTTCTCGAAATATTAAAGTCCTAAAAATCACTCATATCCCGCGAAAGAAGCTAAAATTTGCTGTTTTTTGGGACTTTAATATCTCGAGAAAGAAACATTCTTTTGAGCTGAAATTTTCACGGCATTCTACTTACCAATAGATCTCTCTGTGAGCAAAATTTCAGATCGAAATACCATCATTCGATATTCTGGTATATACCATGCTATGGGCATTTATCCTTTTGGTATTTTTCATACCTCAATGGGGTCTACTTTATGCACAGAGTCTGATTCCAAAAGCAATTTGACAGTTGGTGAGATTCCTTCGTTAGAGGAACATGATTTGTAAAATTCCCAACCACTGTCTATAACAGTTCTATAGAAATTGATCGTATATTTTGTAAAACACAATTTAGAAGGAGTGTTGAAGTATAGAGGTAGAAATTTGGACCTCCTCATCATACAAACCGTGACAAACACGTTAGTAACTTTTTTAATTTACGCTGTGAGCAGCTCAGTCGTGTTTCACATTTTAATTTCGCAAGGATTATGGTAACAGCTTTTGTCTATTGATTTGCAAGTTCTAAGCCAAATATGGACAGAATAGGAACTCTGAATGTTTCTGTTGTTTCTAGATATGGAATGATATTTGAATAAAAATAAAATAAAATAATCTGAGTACAAACTTAACGTTCTTTCTTCTATATGGTGTGAAGAAAATTTCATAACTTATAAGTTACAAATTTTCTAGACTTAGAGCTAGAATTTTTCATGCAATTGATTCACATTGGGAAGAAATTATAGAAAATGACTGGCATAAACCCAGAACTACAGTGACTTTGAAACAGAGTAAGAAGAATACAAGAGTATGGCATCGCTTTTCACAATTTTCTTCTGTAGTTCTTCATAAAAGTTATGAATTTCACTAAATTGTATTACGTAAAGTTTGAAGAAAAGACACTTTCAACATAGTCTTAGTCAACTTCAACAAAAAATTGCTGGTCAACTATTGAGAGGTCGATATCCAAAGTGCAAACTCTGGAGCAATAATATTAGTCCTCTTCGATCCGCCCTTTCTTAATTCCACTTTCGTATACTGTTCTCTAGAATATAGTTTTCCCATTCTTTCATTTCCATTCAGACGAGTAAAAGACTACATTTCTCTACTTCAGATTTGGACGTTAAATCCAGTAAACCAGATCTGCATTTAATTTTATTCTAAAAGAGTTGCTGTGCAAGCTTAGATAAAATGAGTGCCTATGTAGCTTCTTATACTATGTTATATTTGATCCATATTATATTTAGATGTTGAAAGAATTTCAACAGAAAAAAATATCGGCAATTCCATTTGCCCATCGATATTTATTATCCGTTCCTCCTAGCTATAAATATGAGAAAACAGAAAAATATTGGCCTCTTCTCTTATTCTTACATGGTGCCGGTGAATCACATGGTCCAATTGAAAAAGTTCTAAAACATGGTCCTCCAAAATTGGTTCATGCTTATTCATCAAGCAAACAAGACAACCGTTCGATGGACAATGTAAATATGGAATGTGCACAAATAGTAGCAGAGAATTTTATTACGTGTAGTCCACAA